TCGACGTTGTCGAGATCAGTCTTGTTAATGTAGCAAGGCTTTAGTCTTTCGATTGAGACGTTTTTTTCTTCACCTTCTACTAGTATTTTGTAGAGTTTATCGGAGATTCTGTCAATCACCTTGTATGGATTCTAACAGGCGCTTCTAATGGTGCCTTTACGTGGTCACAGCGTAACTACACATGCGTGCAGGTGTTTAGGTCCTTGAGTATGAATACTTTTGCCTTGGAGTGGTGTGCGGTAGGCGTTGGTCGTATGCCCCGCATGTATTCTCGATGTTTTTCCACGAAGATCTGTGAGTCGAGAGGTTGATCGGTCGAAGTGAAAAATTCTCCGGGCACTCTTAAGCATGTTCCGTATAACATTTCCGCCGGAGTGGCTTGGATATTCTCCTTGAATGAAGTTCGAAGTCCGAGGAGTACCACGGGTAAGATGTCGAGCCAGGGTTTTGGAGAGCACATTAAGGCGGCTTTTAAAGTTCTATGCATGCGCTCGACGATGCCGTTTGATTGAGGATGAAAAGGAGTCGTTCTTGTTTTCTTGGCACCTGCGAGATGGGCGAGAGATTGAAAAAGAGCTGATTCGAATTGTGTGTCTTGATCCGACGTTATAGTGATTGGAGTTCCGTAGTGGGATATCCACTCGTTGAATAGTGCTGTTGCGACTGTGTCCGCTGACATGTCTTTTATCGGTACCGCAGCTGGCCAACTTGAAAATCTGTCAATCATTGTAAGACAGTATTGGTATCCTCGAACGTTTGGCAGGAATATTATGTCAATATGTAGATGGTTGAATCTGTTGCTGGGTACTTCAATGTGGTTAGGTTCAGTTCTTGTGTGTCGATGAATCTTGGCTATCTAAACTCTGACATGCTATGCACTCATGAGACTATTGTAGGGAGTCCCTGCGTATTCCAGGCCATATGTATTTCTCCCTAATGAGTTTCGACGTGTTTCTGCCACTTGGATGTGCAGTGTTGTGAACTGTTTGGAAGACTGTTTTTCTGAGGGACGATGGAATGTATGGTCTAACAATTCCTGTAGAAATATCGCAGTATACTTTAGTTTTTGGTTCAATCTCGAGCTCGTGGAGCTTGAGTGACATGGAGCCTTGAACTATGTTCTGTAGTTCCTCGTCAGCGCGCTGAGCCTCGTGAATGGCTTCAGGCGTTAGTATTGTTGGCATGGTGATAATGCGTACATGGAGTATTAATGCGTGAAAGTGCATCTGCAACCACGTTGTCTCCACCTTTCACGTGTACTATGTCCGTAGAAAATTGAGATATGTAATCTAGTTGCCTGATTTGTCGTTCTGATGATTTGTCGAGCTTTTGCTTGAAGGCATAGATTAGTGGTTTGTGGTCCGTTTTTATGATGAAATTGCGGCAATCTAAAAGATAATGAAAAAATTTAACAGCGGTAAAAATTGCTAATAACTCACGGTCGTATATGCTGTAGCGTTTTTCTGTCTCACTGAGTTTTCGTGAGAAAAAACCCAATGGTTGCCAGATATCGTTGACGAGTTGTTCCAGTTTTGCTCCTATTGCTGATGATGATGCGTCAGTAGTGAGGGCCATTGGTGCAATTGGAGATGGATAGGCGAGTAAAGTTGTGTTTGCTATTTTTTGTTTGCATTCTATGAATGCTTTACTAGCTTCAGGTGTCCAAACTATTTTTGTTTTATCATTTTTTATTGACTGTTTCAGGTAACTGTTTAATGGTATTTGCGTGTGAGCGATCTGAGGAATGCACCTACGGTAGTAATTAGTTATGCCAAGGAAACGTCTGAGCTCCTGGATGGTATCAGGCTTTTTGTAGTCCAGTATAGTCTCTACACGATTAGAAGTTGGAGTGTACCCTTGAGGTGTTATGTGATAACCTAAAAGGTCAATTTTAGCTTTTCCGAATTCGCATTTTTCGGTGTTTATGCTGAGTGAAAGATTTTGAAGTCGTTCGAGAACGGTGCTGACATGTTTTACGTGAGTCTCCTCGTCAAGTGACGCAATGAAGATGTCGATGTAGATGAAAACAAAATCAAGATCTTGGAAATTTGTGTTCATGAATCTCTGGAAAGTTTGAGTAGCGTTTTTTAGTCCGTAAGGCATTACCACGTATTCGAARAGTCCCCATKRCGTAGTGATTGCCGTCTTATGGACGTCATCCGGGTGCATGGGTATTTGATTGTAAGCTTTCCTGAGATCTAGTTTTGTGAAGATGTTGGTACCTGGTAAACGTGTGAAGAGATCTTGTATCAGTGGAGGAGCGTACATGTCAGGTTCCGTGGTGTCATTGAGTTGTCTGTAGTCGCCACATAATCGCCATTCATTGTTCTTTTTCCGAGTTAAATGTATTGGGCTGGCATAAAGACTGCTAGAAGGTCTGATGGTGCCGTTGTTGAGCATCTGAGAGATCTGTGACTTTGCTGCTGCCGCTTTTTCACCAGCGAGTTTCCGTGCACGCGCCGTCACTGGTAGTCCTCTTGTAATGATTCGATGAGTGTACTGAATGTTGGTGGTGTTTGGCTTTTGAATCGGTTTTGTAACCTCAATGTACTTTTTGAGCAAATCCCCATATGGTGGTGGCAAATTAGTGCCTAAGGTTGAGACATTGTATGTGTCTGTGTTCACTGTTTGTCCTTTTGAAGACAGATTAGTCAGCGGATCGATGAGACGTTGATTTTTTAAATCAACCAGAAGATTGAAATTTGTAAGAAAATCCGCACCAATTATAGCCGTTTGTATGTCAGCGACGATGAAAGACCAGACGAAGCTTCTACGAAGGTTGAGGTCCAGGTCCAGGGTTTTTGTGCCATAGGTGTGAATCACTGAAGAATTTGCTGCGTAGAGTGTGAGAGGATGTTTTTTTAGTTTGTGTTTTAAAGAAGAAGTTGGAATGATTGATACCACCGATCCYGAATCTATGAGGAATTTTTGGTTGGTTCTGTGGTCATGGATGTGTAGACGCAGTTCTGTGGGCAGTCCGTTGTTTTGGCCGTCACCTACTGCCCCAATCGTTGACAGCGTGTCTAGTTTCCCTGGTTATTAGCTAAGGATTTGAAGTTGCAAGGAAGCGTGCATCGGTGAGCGTCGTTACCCCATTTTGTGTGGTAGTAACAAGTGCCGTTGCGGTTAGGTGTCAGTGATCTCCGTCTCGACCGTGCACGATTTTCGTATCGTAACGTGTTTTGTAGCTGGTTTATGGTCTGTTGTTGTTGTTGCTGTTGAGATTGCATCTCATACAGTTGTTTTTGAATGAGCTGTTGACTTACTTGTAGGTTGGCTAAACTATTTTGGCAGTCTTTTAAAGCAGTGTTAATTTCTAATAACTGTCGTTCTGTTTGTGGAGTTGTTGTGCTGCCGGAGTGCTTGTCGTGACCGGTTGTATCTGCACCATGTACAGCCATTACCGGAAGTATGTCCAAGTTGTCCACAAGCCTGTCAGCCATTACAGCGAGTTCATTGAGACCTAGATTTTCTGATATTATTAACAACGGACGTATTTTAGGTGGGAGACGTTCGGTCCAGAGTTGGTGAAGCACGTCCTCCTGCACAGAATCCTGAGCCAGTGCTCTCATTTCGCGTAACAGTTGTGAGGGTCGTTTATCACCAACAACCCTTTCATTTAAACGTTTCTGCAACTGTTTTTTTCGTGATAAAGAAAAACGTTCAAGAATTGTGTTTTTTAAAGTTTTGTATTTATCTTGTGTGGGTGGATTGTTAACAATGTCCTGTAACTGTTCTGCAATTTGATAGGGTAAAGCTTTGAGGAGTTGGACGTATTTTTGTGCATCACTTGTTATACGATTCGCATTGAAATCCGCCTCGGCTATTGCGAACCATAGATCAGGTGACTTGTGATTGAACTGAGGTAGTTGCAGATTTACGTAGACGACCTTGAGCGCATTATCCGGTGGAGTCTGTTTAGTGGACGGAATAGTTCCAGAACATGATGATTCGACTGTTGGAAGATCAAGCATGAATTGATTTTGTAGATCAGTTGTTGTATTGTCCACAGAGCTTTTATTGTCGTCCTGGCGAATCATGTTGGATGTTGCTTTTTCAGGTGTCCTGTACATTGGTTGAATGGCAGCCAGAGTTGAGTTTCGTCGCACAAAGATACAGCGTATAGGTTAACCACTTGTAGATCACGTCGGGGTCACCAATTTGTGGTATCACTGCTTACTAATACCACGAGATAAAAGACATACAAAAATGGTTAACGTATATCGAAAACTTTATTAATAAAACTGTATCAAATAAGTATAACAAGTAGTTGAAATAAGTTTTTGGAACACGTGGTGAATGCAATGCGTTGTGTGTCGTGTAGTGTGTATAGTGCCATTAACTATTGTTCTCTTTGTTTTATGTGTTGTTGGTCTGTTTTATCATTAGAGGTATAGTTGTATAAGCAGTCTGCAGAGGCGTGACTGTAGATACGCGTCCGCTACACATTTTCAAAGTGTGTCTGATGGGTTGCATATGAACAGGCGCGAATTATTATAATTAAACTAATAATTAAATAAATAATTACAAATTAAATGTACAAATAATAGTATAATAATATTATATAATAAATTATCCTCGAAACTTGTTTATTTGAAGGTTTTACTTCTAACTTGTGTGATATGCACACATGTTTTTTTTTTATCTCATTATACTTTCGCATTATTTTGAAACATTTGATATAATACTAAAGTATTCATTGATATTTTATTAATTATTTTGCATTTTACAATTTTACCACAAACATAACGGATAACATAACAATCTTATCCACTGATAGGACAAATCTGTAATACCATAAAAGCTCTTTCCATATTATTCTTCTAGTTCATTTTGTGTTCGTATGTGTTGCTGAAGTCGCACACGCTTTTAGAGAAAAGTAATGAAGAGATAACCTCTCAATTATACCAATACTTGGTTTTTTGTTCTTCGTGAACGTATATAATATATAGTTTATTTACTTATAAATATAATCCTTCGGTATGAAATTTAATATATCATTTATATAATTTTTACACAATTGGTTTGTCTTAGAAATAACTTCAAAAGTCATAATCCATGTTATTATTTATTATAGTACACTAATGATTATTCTAATGAATTTATGATATATGTTTTTTATATGTAAATATAAATAACGTAAAATCTTTTATTTAGATAAAGCAGAATGAAATTAACACAAGCATTAAGAAAATATCATTTGGGTAGATTAACTAGACAAATATGGTATGCAGTACGTGAAAGAACACCCATAGATAATAATGTGGAAAGTAAATTGTCAGGATTGAACATAAAGATTGTAGATCCCATTGATATATTTCAACCAAAGAAAGAATTCGTAAAGTATTTACTATGTGCATAACAGATTTATTTCAATATATTCTATTTTTTTTGGTAGTATTCCTATTGATTCATAACATTTAAATAATTTAATTAATTAAAGGATAGAGCTTCCAGAACCTATTATTAAAGTATACAAACCTGACAATACCCATCCTGATTGGAAAAATAGAACTTGTTTAAATTATAAGGATCACAATGTTCTACAACATGGCTTATCTCAAGCACAACTATTGTTAAAAACCATTCTTATTAAAAATGAACTTCCACAACAAATTGAAGAAAAAGAAATTGATATTTCAGAAGATATACACCGTTTAGTTAAAAGGTATAATTTCTTTATAATCTAATTCTATATAATATTGATTTAATTATTTATTTTAATGATATATTTCTATATACAGAACAATTTATACCTCTAATGTATTTGATGCACATCAAGAATTGTTACCAAAAAGAAAGGATCCAGAGAGACCAGCATGGAATTTTCCTAGAGACTATGGCTTGACAGATATTAGAAAAACGTAAATGATTATTTTTATAGAAATATATTTTACATTTCAAAGAAGTATCAATATATTTCAAAAATATATCTACTATTTAATTAACATGTTATAAATAAATTAAATTATCCTTATAGGCATAATTTATTCAAGAAACTACTTCAAATTTGTGAATGTGTATGTGGTCCAGAGATTGTACAAACTCGTTCTGTCTATCATAATGGAGTTGCGTGTCTTTCAATAGGTATATTAACTTCTTATTTCTTACTGTTTTTTAGAATTTATACATATTAAAAAATATCTATTATATTTTAGAAAAGGAATCAAATTTATTGCAATTTGCATTGACATTTGATTTAGCTCTTATATCAACAAATCCTTTAAAAAAGATAGAGGATCAAAATGCTTATATGGAATTAGATTTTCCAAATATATATCCATTTTATCCTACAGTTAGCTTGACAAAAACAAATATTTACAAAACCGAAGATCTATATCGTAAGTAATACTTCGTTTTTATTTTACATTTGCTTAAATAGAGATTTACACTTTGATTACAATTTATTATATAATAGCTATTGAGACGACAACACCCTGGTCGAATGTTCATACCATATTTATAAGCCATAATCCAGAAGAAGTAAAAAATCTTTCTGAACTACCAGTAGTTGAGGATCAAATACTTGCACGCTCTATGATAAAATCATTTACTGCAGCTGCAAGTAATGCACGTCAAAAATATGGATCTGATGTTAAACATTTACCAGAACCGATAACTGTGCAATGTGTTGAATCCAATGGGAAACAGTTTCATTTTTCAGTATTTCAACTTAATACACTAGATATAAACAAAACAGAAGGTATTCGAAATTTTTGGTGGTCTAGTCCAATATTAGAGTTATATGAAGAGGCATGTTATAAAACTGGTAAGCCAATTTTTACTGGCTATAATCCTGAAGTTGTGAAAAAACTGTTTGCATTTTATAAAAATACATAGTTTAATGAATAAATTATTTTTAATAAACAAAAAAAAAATATATATATATAAATATGATTTTCTGTAATATATGTTATTGTATATTTAATTCATTTTTTTTTAAATATATGTATATTATATAGTATTTAGAAGTGCTTTAAAAAGAGTTGTTATTGGAAGAGTAACTTCAACTTCTTTAGGCTTTACCAAAAGCCGATGATCTTGTGATGGCTTTATTAAATTTTCTGTAGATGGGTAAGGCTTACAGAAAAAATACGTATGTTGCAATGCCTAAAATAGAAAAAGAATAACATAATATAATTTAGTTATAATAATTAATTTTATACGAAAAACAATGATATATAAATCAGTTAACCAACCTCTTTAGCAGAAAGACGGTTTGATGAATTATATATAAGAATTTGTTTTATTAAATCAATAGTTTCTGGTTCTGCATCCTGTATAATAACTTCCCATGTTGTACCTTTATTATATGGAAATGTTATTTTATTGTAATCAGGTAGTGAACTCAATTCTGGCCATGACTCAGTAGTAGGAGATCCTAAATATTTTAATACTATTGCCAATTGTTCAATATCTGTTTCTCCCTGTAATTTAGATATATATTTTATATATATATGTAAATGTATAAAACAAATTGACTTACTGGAAACAAGGGTGAATTATTATACATTTCACCAAAAATACAACCAACAGACCACATATCGATAGCTACAGTATAATATTTTGCTCCATATAATAATTCAGGAGCTCTATACCATCTTGTAGCAACTTGGTGAGAATATGGTTTAGTAATGCCCTCCCACAATAATCTTCCTAATCCAAAATCAGCTATTTTTAAAATACCTTCATTATTGAGCAATAAGTTAGCAGGTTTTAAATCCTGCAAAATAGAATATAAATGAATATTACTAAATATATTTATTTTAAAGTAATGTTTAAAAATGACTTAATAATGTACCCTATGTATTATATTCTTCTCATGTACATATGCAATACCCTCTAAGAGCATTTTCATATATATTTTGATTTGTGGTATTGTTAATGAAATATTATTATCTTTCAAAATTTCCCATAATCCTGTAGGCATATACTCAAAAACCATTATATAATCTAAACCCAATGGAAAGGAATCTAATAGTTCTATAACCTTTAATAACATCATTTATGTTTAATAATTTTCAATAATTAATGTTAATATGAAATGAAATATTGTAAAAATAGAACATTGCCATACATAAGGATGTTTTAACTGTTGAAGCGTTTTAATTTCTCGTATGACTGATACAGGTATGCCTTCCTCTACTTTTTTTATAAGTACCCTTTTTAATGCAACCTCTTGTTTAATAAATCTATGCTGTCCTTTTAAAACTAATCCTTGAGCACCTTCACCAATTTTACCCAAAATAATATATTTATCCATAATATAACCCTAATTATTAAACTCTACATATATACAATATTATTTCATAAACTTATTTATTATTCCTCATTGCAATAAATTTCCTTAGAAATCAAAGTTTTATTTTATTAAACATTAAAAATTAATATCCTTTGCATATGTTTATTGTGTACATAAATGGTATCCATGGTTACCATACAATTAGAACGTCATAGTTTTGTGGAGTCTTCTACACACACAATTACATACACACTCATTCGCTCGTCACTGCTACGTAACCAATCAAAATCAAGCAGGCTGACAACATATGCCCTGTAATATTAAGTTGGCATATTACTTATACCAACCTCAACTAACTAGTTAGAAAACACTAGATACGTGATATGCTGCAGTTTTTATCATCTAATTACAAGATATACATTAATTAGTTTGTCATATTAAATAAATAAATGAAGTTTTATGTTATTTAATAGATTTAATAAATCTTATTCTATGTCTTTATGGTTATGTCTATATAGTTGGTTATTTTGTGAGAATAATTATTTGTGTAACAATCTTCAAATAATTTTAGGTTAAAGTTTGATCAACGTGAAATATTTGAAGAAGTCGTGAAATTTTACGGAAATTATATATAAACTTAGAAAATTTGTCTGTATTTTGTAGAAGTATTTAAAAATATTAAAATAGAATTGTTTTAAAATATATTTTTTTTAAAATGCCGTATGCAAATCAACCGTCTGTGCACATATCAGATTTAACCGAAGAAAATGTAAAATTTCAAGTAGAAGATACAGAATTAAGGTACAATATATTAATATTTATTTTTAATGTAATTTTTGTATGAAATTTTTATAATTATTCGTTTTAATATTCAGAACCCATGACTTTATAAATATGATTGCACTATAAACTTACTTAGGGTTATGTTAAGAAATTTTATTTTTTACCAAGTTTGTTATCACTTGTTTTAGTTTTCAGAAACATTACTAATATTAATATAAAAATTATTAAATATTTTTAATTTTTATTTTGAATTAAAGTGTAGCAAACAGTATGAGAAGAGTATTTATTGCTGAAACACCAACAATGGCTATTGATTGGATACAATTAGAAGCAAATTCAACAGTCTTAAGTGATGAATTTTTAGCACATCGTATAGGAATGATACCTTTAATCAGCGATGATGTGAGTATTTAATAAAAAATTATACATTATTTTATTTGATGTTATAGTAATATGCCATGCAGGATAAATATAGTCAGTATTCGTATTGGTGATCTAGGTTGTTGACAGAATACAATATACCAGAGATTGTCAGTGCATGGATTTTTGTCCAGAATGTAGCGTTGAATTTACTCTTGATGTGAAATGTACAGAAGATCAAACAAGGCATGTTACAACTGCTGATTTTAAATCAAGTGATCCTAGAGTATTGCCTGTTACATCTAGACATAGAGAAGATGATGCTAGTGAATATGGAGAAACTGATGGTTAATATTTAATATTATTCATGTATTGAAACTTCTGAATAACTTGGAGATAAAACAACAAAATATTTGTTATTGTTTTATAGAAATTTTGATTGTAAAATTACGAAAGGGACAAGAATTAAAACTTAGAGCTTATGCAAAGAAAGGATTTGGAAAGGAGCATGCAAAATGGAATCCAACAGCAGGTGTTAGTTTTGAATATGATCCAGATAATTCAATGAGGCACACTTTGTTTCCAAAACCAGATGAATGGCCAAAATCAGAATATAGTGAATTAGAGGAAGATCAATGTAAGTTTTATGTTTGTTTAATCCTTATCATCTTGCAATTTTTATATTTGTACTTTTGTTTTTTTTTTAGATGAAGCACCTTTCAATTGGGAAGCAAAACCAAATAAATATTACTTTAATGTAGAAAGTAGTGGAGCATTAAAACCAGAAAATATTGTAATGATGGGAATTGCTGCATTAAAAAACAAATTATCAAATTTACAGACTCAATTGAGTCATGAAGTACAAAGTGATGCTTTAAGTATTCACCATTAAATAATTTCAATAAATGGTTATTATATCTTTTCTTATCAGTGTCAAAAAATTATTTCATCTGTGCTTAAGATTTCTATTTTGTCCGGTGTACGAATTTGTATATGTTATTATTTTTTCACAATTTTTAGCATAAGTCTTTAAGTACTTTATTAAGCATGATGAAATTTTTTTTAGACCCACGAGATCCTTCAGTTTCTGGTGATACAAATATGTGATTTATATTTTTATTGAAATCATGACAATCCAAATTACAAATATATAAATTTCATTTATGTATAATAAGCTACGGTCACATTATGATCAGAAATTATTCGTTGTAATAAATTCCTCAACTTTCTCCATATTTTCTGTATTATTTGAGAAATTTATTATAAATATAAAAAGCTATGACTGAACTAAGTGCTTAGATTTCACTTTTTAACATAAATTTAAGATTTCTCAAAAAATAGAGTTAATCATTTTGTATTATGAATGACTCATAAATAGAATGAAATTGAATTTGGCGCCGAGTGGTATACGTAAAATTAAAAAATCCCCAAATGGAGATTGTGACTATATGATATTATATGATATTCACAAAGCTATATTAATAACCTATATATCATATATAGCTACAAGCTATATTAATAACCCATACCAATAGAACGATTTTAATAAAAAAATGTTAATCCGTTATAGTGACTTTTTGTTTTCATAATTGGTCAATTTTGAAACAGTTCTCCTTTACTTGTATTCCCGCTCAAATCTAGGAAATTTTAGAGTTAGTATATTGAAGAATATCTTATGGGTTAGGATTGGAAACAATTATTGACTTTGCTCAAAAATAAATAAATGTTTTTATTTTATGCGTGCAGTGATTGAATTATATTTGGTTATATATTTTTATTTTTATATTAAACTAAGGAATAAGGAAATCTTTATAATATATAAGTGCATAATGTATATCAAACAGGTATAACCAAAATATTTATTGTTACTATCATTATTGTAATGTTTTTGAACGTCATATTTTTGTTGGTTAGATGTTAGACGTTACATTAAAGTTCTCAATAAATTATTTTTCAATTTAGTTATATTATAAAGATTATCATATCATATAAGTATAAATATTATATAAATTAATGTGTCATTTCTAATATTACTTTTATGACAACTCAATAATTTTAAATAAATATTTCTTTTGCTGAAAGAATATAAAAAAATTTGATGAAATTACATTATATATAGAATTAAATGAAACATTTTTTGGTTTTAGGTGATTATACAGGGATTTAAATCATATCGGGAGCAAACAGTGGTCGAACCATTTGATTCTAGGCATAATGTTGTTGGTACGTATATTTTCTATGCTTATGGAAATAATTTATTAAAGATTATTTTTTGTGTATATTTTATATTTTGTGTATAATTCTTTTAAAGTTGGAAGAAATGGATCTGGGAAAAGTAACTTCTTTTATGCAATTCAGTTTGTTTTGAGCGATGAATTTTCTCACCTCAGACCTGAACAGAGACAAGCTTTACTTCATGAAGGTACTGGACCTCGTGTTATTTCTGCTCATGTGGAAATTATATTTGATAATACTGATGGAAGGTTACCGGTATGAATTATCAAACTATTTAATATAATAATAATAATAATTTAAATATAAATATATAACATATGACAACTTATTTTTGTTTATTAGATTGATAAAGAAGAAGTTTATTTGAGGAGAGTAATTGGATCCAAAAAAGATCAGTATTTTCTTAATAAAAAAATTGTTACTAGAAATGACGTTATGAATTTGTTAGAGTCTGCAGGTTTCTCAAGATCAAATCCATATTACATTGTCAAGCAAGGAAAGGTTTATTTCATTATTATATCAATTTATATTATCATTCATTTATACTTCAAAAATGATATTATTAAAAATGATTACGTGTTTGTACATAGATAAATCAAATGGCGACAGCTCCAGATTCACACAGATTAAAGCTTTTAAGAGAAGTTGCTGGTACAAGAGTATATGATGATAGAAGAGAGGAATCTAAATCTATATTGAAAGAAACAGAAGGAAAACTTGAAAAAATAGAAGATTTTTTACGTACTATAGGTAAAATGTTTGTTTGTAATTAAATGAATTTACGTGGCTGTTCTTACAATTAGCTAATTCATTCTATATATGCATATATTTATTTTGTTGCACTTTAGAGGAACGATTAAAGACATTAGAAGAAGAGAAAGAAGAATTAAAGGAGTATCAGCGTTGGGATAAACAGCGGCGTTGTTTAGAATATACGATTCATGAACGTGAACTCAAGGAGAATAAAAGAAAATTTGAAGAACTCGAAGCATCTCGTGCAAATAGTGGTGCTGAACAAGCAAGATTAGGTGCAGAAGCAAAAACTGCACAAGAAATGGTACGAGCAGCTACTAAACGTCTGAAAGAAGCTAAAAAAGAAGTACAAACGGCTAAGGAAGAAAGGGATACCTTAAGGTAAATAAATAATCTATTTCTATATATATATATTATTATTATAATTAGAAATATATATGGGGCATTCTACGTGTGTTTTCTATTGACTACCATTATAATTATACAGCGCTGAACAACAACAATTATTAAAAGAAAAAACAAAATTGACGTTAACTATTAATGATTTATTGGAAGAGGTTAAAGGTGATAATGATAGTAGAAAACGGGCACAACAAGAATTAGAAAAACTGAAAGTAAATATCGCAGCACGTGAGTCAGAATTAGAAGGAATTAAACCAGAGGTATTTAAATCATTATTTATGAATATAAATGAAATCCTTTTTCTTTTGCTTATTATAATATAAATTTATTTATTTTTACAGTATGAAGAAATGAAACGTGTTGAAGAAGAGTGTACAAGAGAGTTGCAACTTAAAGAACAAAAGAGAAAAGAACTTTATGCTAAACAAGGGCGCGGTAATCAATTTACTAGTAGGGTAATATAAAAACTGTCAAAATTGCCAAAATTAGAGATATATTATAAATTGGTTTGAATTAGTTTGAAAATAATATATTGTAATATTATTTATTATAGGATGAAAGAGATAAATGGATACAAAATGAGCTTAAGCAATTGGCCAAACAAATAAAAGATAAAGAAGAACACCAAAAGAAAATAAGTGAGGATTTAAAAAAAGATGCAGAAAAGCAAATTGCTTTAGAAAAAAAGATAGAAGAACATACACGTGAAATGGATAGACAACGTGCATCGATAGATGATCACAATAAACAATATTATGAATTAACGAAAGCTAAGGATCAGTGTCAAGCAACGAGAAAAGAACAGTTTGTGCATTATTATATTAATAGTTCATTTAGTAATATGTATAATATAAATAAATAATTTGATAGGTATCGTCAAGAAAGCGTATTACAACTAAATTTGTCAGGATTAAAAGAAGATTTAGCAAAAGCTGATCAAAGTTTACGTTCTATGGCTGGAAAACCTATTCTTAATGGCAGAGATAGTGTACGAAAAGTACTTGATACATTCCGGTAAATGATATTTTCTTCTATTTTTTTTTTTTTTATTAATTTAATGTATTAATTATAATATACAATACGTATGTTTCACAGTGGACGTAATGATATGGCCCATGAGGTAAGTAGTTACTATGGGCCAGTGATAGAAAACTTTAATTGCGACAAAAGTGTTTATATGGCTGTAGAGGTAACAGCTGGAAATCGATTGTTTCATCATATTGTAGAAACGGATAAGTTTGGCACTAAAATTCTAAAAGAAATGAATAATCAACGTCTTCCTGGAGAAGTTACGTTTATGCCTTTAAACCGTCTTCATATTAAAAATATAGATTATCCTAATACTTCGGATGCGATACCAATGATATCCCGTTTGAATTATGATCCTAAATATGATAAAGCATTAAGGTAAAAACATATGAATTGTGTGTAAGTTTTTTTTTGTCAAAATTATATCAATTTTGCGCCATAACTTAATGTTTCAATGTTTTTAATTAATTCAGGTACATTTTTGGGAAAACATTAATTTGTCGTAATTTAGAAGCAGCAACGAATCTCGCTCGAACATCTGGCTTGGACTGTGTAACACTTGAAGGTGATCAAGTATCATCGAAAGGTTCTTTAACTGGTGGATATTTTAATACTTTAAGATCACGACTTGAGATACAAAAAACTCGATCAGAATTAATGGCACAGATTTCTACTCTTGAAAGTCAATTATCAACTCTTAAAGAAGAAATAAGAAAGGCTGACCAAAATATTAGTTCTTATGTCAGTGAAATGCAACGTACAGAGACGAAAAATAGTAAAGCCAAGTTAGTGATTGATTACTTGATTTTAATTTGTATGAAGTTTATCTTTGTTATTAACAATATATACTATTTTAGAGATATATATGATAAAATGAAAGCGGAAATACGTTTGATGAAAGAAGAATTGAGTGCTATTGAAAGGTATAGAACACCTAAAGAGAAAAGTCTTGCACAATGTACTTCAAATTTGGAAGCAATGAGAGCTACAAAAGAAGGTTTAGAAAGTGAATTGCATCAAGAATTAATGGCACAATTATCTGTAGCCGATCAACATCAGGTATAAATTATTCAAATAAAATAAATAATAAAGAATTCATTTAAATTTTCATTTAATTCATATAGGTCGATACTTTAAACGATGATATAAGACGATTAACAAAAGACAATAAAGAAGCGTTTGCAAAAAGAATGAGATTGGAAGCAGAGAAAAATAAATTAGAAAATCTTCTAACAAATAATTTAGTTAGAAGAAAAGATGAGTTAGTACAAGCTTTGCAAGAAATATCAGTAGAGGATCGGCAACGTCAGCTTGATTCATCGAAAACTCAATTAGCAGACATTGAAAAAAGGCTTGTGAAAGTTAATGCAGACTTTAAAGCTCAAAATGAAAAAGTAACTAATGCTATGAAAAAGGTAAATATATATTCAAATATAAATATTATTTCTATTAGAATAATGTTAACATGATCATATTTTCATTTATTTATCTTTTTACTTATAATTTAAATATTATGCAAATAATAATATAGCAAAAGGCAGAATCTTCTGAAGTAGAAAAGTGGAAAGTAAAAGAAAAAGAAGCACAGGAAAAAATAGAAGCTGATGCTAAAGATTTAGAAAAATTGGCGAGTAAATTAAATATTTTACAACAGAAAATAGTAGAGTGTACACAAAAGATCACGGAACTAGGTGCATTACCAAGTCACGAGGCATATACTAAATTTAGTGTTATGTCTACGAAACAATTGTTTAGAGAAATGGAAAAAGCAAACAATCATTTAAAGAAATATAGGTATGGTTTCATATCGTAAAATATAAAAATAATAAGGACATTTTATTCATGATAGTTTTTTATGCTTTGTTGCAGTCATGTCAATAAAAAAGCTTTAGATCAATTCATGTCATTCAGTGATCAAAAAGAAAAATTAGTGAAACGAAAGGAAGAACTAGATCGTGGTGATGAAAAAATTAAAGAGTTGATGTCAGTTCTTGAACAACGCAAATGTGAAGCTATTCAATTTACATTTAAACAAGTATAGTTGTAAACTAGTATAGTTTTCATAAAAATACCAAAATTTCGGATAATTTAATTCAATTAAAATCATGAATTTTTTATTTTTCATAGGTAAGTAAATATTTCAGTGAAGTATTTAAGAAACTTGTTCCATCGGGTCATGCACAGTTAGTTATGAAAACTGCAGATGGTGATGAAGGAGATGACGGTACAACAGAATCTGTGGATTCTGATCGTTTCATTGGTGTTGGTAAGATGACACTAAAAATTTACTTTTATAACAAATAAAAGGTATGAAAATCATTATTATTATTATTATTATTGTTGTTGTTTTTTTTTTTTATAGGAATACGAGTCTCTTTCACTGGTCACAGAGCTGAGATGCGAGAAATGAATCAATTATCTGGTGGTCAGAAATCGCTAGTAGCATTGGCTTTAATTTTTGCGATTCAAAAGTGTGATCCTGCACCATTTTATTTATTTGATGAAATAGATCAAGCCTTAGATGCACAACATCGAAAAGCAGTTGCTGATATGATTCATGAACTTAGTTCGGACGCTCAATTTATTACGACAACTTTCAGGTAACATTCAATAATAAAATCAGATAATAATAATAATAATAATAATAATAATAATAATAATAATAATAATAATAATAATAATACGAAAGAAATGATTTATATATGTAATCATATCACAGGCCGGAGTTATTACAACATGCAAATAAATTTTATGGAGTAAAATTTAGAAATAAAGTATCGCATGTTGAATGTGTTTCGCGAGAAGAAGCAGCAGACTTTGTTGAAGATGACACGACACATGGTTAAGATGACATGGTGTTTTTCCGTTCTAATCATACACTTGAAATAATTTTTTAATAACATACTCTTTAATTTTCGAGTTAAAATATTGATTTTTAACCATGAATCTAAACCATTCATAATCATTTTATTATATTATGTTTCATAGTTTAAATTTTAATGTTTTGAGCATGTTTGTAAAAAAAAAAAAATGTAATTTCATAATGAATAAAATAATATAATGAAATTTTTAGATGGTTGAATGTTTAGTATAAATCACGTTTACAACGAAACAATGTTAACAAAAACATTATTGTGTTGGCTTACATTTTTATTTTGATAAATGAAAAGCTTTAATGAATACTTTTCTTTCATTCTGATATCATTTTGAATGTACATCAAGGAAAAATGATATAAATTGTATGAAGTGTATATTTAAACATAAAAATCACATATTTTTATATAATCATAAAGTAATTATTTGTCTTTGCGTTGACGTGTTATACTGTCATGCATATCTGTTACAACTGCTTCTATTAGTCCTGGTATTACCACACCATTTACATCAATAAATTTTGCAATTGATTTTGTTACAACACTTTGATTAGTTACCCCTGTGGAAGGACTGCTAACAGACAATACGAGAGTATATCTATCATCATATTTTTTAAGATATGAACTTGCTTCCCAAATAAGATCAGGATTATAACCCGAAGGATCTCTGCAATATAAAATAATTAGAAAGCATATAGCATAAATAGCATAATGATATATATTGAAAATTACCTTTGAATAGCAACAACAAATATGCCTTTTTCTTTATACGTTGTGTAAAGAGTTAAAAGTCCCATCAAAACAAAATATAAAGAGACGCAAACTATTAAAACAGGTTTAGATGCTGGAAATGGATATAAATAATCAAATAGCAATGCGATAATAGCTATTGTTACTGCAATTCCACAGAGTGCCAATCTTCCATCAAGAAGAGTAAAATTTTCTATGTAATTATATTTTTTTGTAAGAACATCCTTAATTGCATCGTCCAATGCATTTTTTACAGCAGATCCATCCCATTTATTGATTTTGATTACCATCTAAAAAATATTTGTCAAATACAAATCTGAGGTATATAAGTGTGAAGTACTGCATATGTTATTTTATTATTTTTTTTCAATTCATTAACTAATTCTAAGAGGTTAAGCATACAATATTTATTAAAAAAATAGTTATAGTAATATAATTTATATTATTTATTAAAACACAATATATATATATATATATATCTAAATAACTTACACTATTTTCAACACCACCCATTTTAATTAATTGTAATAGAACGTTTGCATTTAATATTATCCTGCACAATCACTAAATTGTTTTAGCTTGGTCAAACGAAACGGCAGCGATATATTTTAGAAAATGTAGTTACCATATGTTACAGATAGCGCTCCGATATGTACACGTCAATGTTTGAAACAGACTTTTAAAGGTTAATGTAATATATGACATGATTTAAAGAAGAGAAAAAGATGATAATCGTTTTATATTCATAACATATGGGAAATATTGAAGTGATTAAATATTGGTTATAATGCAACAGAATATAATTATATATATATTTAATAATTATATAAATATTTAATATTGGTGCGAGGGAAATAATATAATTTACATTTTTATATTATTTTGTAAACATTTTTATTCTTCATTTATTATTTCTTTTGCATTTATATATTTATTGTGCAAATAATGGTGCACTGATAGAATATTGTTCAGTTATTGAAATTTGCATGTAGTGTGCTGTTTAGTTCAGTTATAAATGAATTTAAAGTTAAGTTTCAAATTTTTATTATACATTTATGTGAAGTTTTATGTTATTGTTTTTAATTGTATAATCTGTGAGTTATATTTATTTTTTATCAGTAAAAAAAAAAAGAATTGAAGTGTTAAACATTAAATTAAAGATAATATACTTAGTTTTAACATGCACATGCAAATTTACTTTAGTGAATTATAGTGATGATAGAAAAAAAAACTGTGTGCTTTAAAGGATTCATTCGTGTGTTATTTCTTTATAAATTTCATATTATATTTCAGGACATTTTAAGTGATAAGGACAAATACACAACATTACCGGTATATACCTTAAGCAGCGATAATATTCGTACATTATACGATGACTCAAATATGAATTTTCTATAAAATTAATAAATATGCAACTGAAATGTGTATAATAATCGTTTTGCAAAATCTAGCAATATAGCATAGAATATTTATAAATATAATAAACAGTAAATAATAATATTAACGATAGTGTATGATATTATATGGTAACTTTTACTAATCATGAGACAATAACTAAAATGAAAAATAATGATTTCTTACTCCGTATTATGGCACTAGAGTTGTAGATAGCGGAAGACAGTGATTTACATAATAATATTTTAGTAAGAAAGCATATAAATATTAAAAATGAATTTGTGCAGATGTTTATAAATTGAAATTTGATATTTTTCCACTAATTTAGACGCATTTCGATTATTATAGTATAAATGACAATACCAACAAAGTTCAAATTGATGGTATAATATTGAAAGTTTATAAATTCTATTAGGAAAAGATAAAAATATTTGAAATATCTTATAAAATAGACTTTTCAGAGTTCATCCGTAAAACGTTCAATGTCTTGTAACTGGTTTCCATAATCAGTCGCTTCACTACCTACAAATGTATCATGATGATCCAAAATCTCATCGAATGACAATCTATTATCATGATCGTCATCAGATGCTGCAAATAAATGGTCAACTTCGTCGTTGGCTATTTCTCTGAAATATATTAACAATTTATAATCTCTTTCATATTAATATATATTTAATTATGTGTTTAATTAACATATGTGTATACTTACTCGTTACTTGGTACACGCCATAATAGAATCTCATCGGATTCAAGTTTACCATTTCCATTTTTGTCATACTCATGATCGAATTTGTCTTTTTTAGTCAATAACCATTCTTTATCTTCAGATTTAGCTCTTTCTCCAATATATTCTTGAAAACTGATACAACCATCTTTATCAGTATCTTTTTCATCGAGAACTTGTTTTAATAATAGTGGAAACATTCTAGGTGTTTCTTCCGGATGAGTGTATGCTTTAAATTCTTCTGGATCTAAATAACCATCTTTATTTAAATCTGCAGCATCAAACGTTTCTTTATCATAATGAATGAGTTGATCGTCTAAGGCAAGATCTTGGGGATCAGAACCATAAATATCTTGTAAGATTTCATCCCAACTGACTTTACCATCTTCATCACTATCTGTATCTTCTAAACGATCTTGTGATTCTTCAGTAGAGAGCATACTGTCAATAAGATTTAATGTCATTTAAAAATATCTATGTCAATGTTGCTACATCAAGCTTATACCTGAATGAACGTAAAATCCAAGCTTTCAATTCATTTCTCTCAATGAAATTATCATTATTTAAATCCATTTTGGTTAATAATATAGCCAATCGACGTCTTGATTCCTCTACTGGTAGTTTGTCAAATTCTTCAGCATCTTTGACACTTCCTATAAACAACAAAATGATATGATTAAATTTAGATAGAATAATAAGTAAGATCGAGAATTAAAAAATAATAAATTTCAGATAATACCAAGAATTGCCTCATGATCAAACTCCTGATGATGCTCATCACCCACATAGTGGTCCATACCCCGTGGACTATATGCACCGTCTTGTGTTCTTTCACCGCCTTCACCTCTATTGTGTTGATGAGTATGAATATGTGCGGATGCAGCATTAGTATTCAAAATGAATTCAGAGGTACTGAAGATTGCAAGAAATAGAATACAACTACGCATATTATGTACGTGCATTGTGTTGTTTGTTCGATAACTGAAAAATGAGTATTATTCAGGGAACAAGGAATTTATAACCTCACTTTAGTGAGTATTTGACAGATATTATGTTTTGAGGTGCCTGCCATGATGCTTCGTATCGATTATTACACATCGATATAAAATCCTTATCGAGATTGACTATTTGTTATTACGAACTTAAATGTTTACATTTGTCCAATTAATTTTTCTTTAATTATACTTTTTCATTTATACTTTATTTCATTCATTTTATTTTAAGATTACTTCTCAACTATTCATTTAATGTATTTAACTAATTTACTAATTTTACTAATAACATACCTTTTTAATTAAGATGTACATTAAAGGGTAGTTACTATTTCCCTCTTTGAAATAATTTGTTAATAATATCTAATGTATTATTAAATTATATTGAAAAATTGAAGATATCGTTGGAGAAACTTTCGTTATACTGTGAAATCATATTACTTTGCTTCGTATGCCATAATGTGTAAGCTATTGAAAGAAATTTACATTGAATGAGAGCTTCATAAGCTATGCTACGAATGAACACTCACGTTTTCGCATATATAAGAAGCATATTCGAAAATAGTCTTGTAGTATTTCACGTTGAATCTATTTTCACTTTCGTTGCTTCTTTGCAGTCTCAAGAATGGCGGTCGATTAGGAAGAGAGGGAGAGCTTGGTGTACGTATGTGTGTATGTTAAGATCTATTTTAAAATATTTTTGCTAAGAGATTCTGTCGAGAAGATTCAATACTGTCACATACAGGGTCAAAGGTTTTGCCAAACTAGACCACCATAAATATATTGCTTATTTTGTACGATAAAAAAAAAAATGTCAGAGAGAACAAAATATTCTGCACGAAGGCACCAATACAGGGTGAAATAAACGATGTTAAGAAAAAGGAAAGTAAAAATAGACAAAAGTCTAGTTAGCTGAAAGATTCTGTATAAATGCTTTTCTATTTTTATGATGGAATCAAACAATGATTATCTAGGATGTCGTTTATTATATAATTACAATATATTTTTACTAATCGATACGTAGATAAGTTATCGTAATAATAATGATAATAATAATAATAATAATAATAATAACAACAACAATAACAAAAAGAATACTACTACTACTACTACTAATACTAATAATGATAATAATAATAATAATAGTAATAATAATAATAATAATAATAATAATAATAATAATAATAATAATAATAATAATAATAATAATAATGGTTATCATCATTATCATCATTATCGTTGCCGTCATCATCATCATCTTCATCATCACTATCATCACCATCATCATTATCACCATCACCATCATCATCATCATCATTATTATCATCATCATCATCACCACCACCACCAATCACTACCATCAACACCAACACCACCAACAACACCAACACCATTATCATCATCATCATCATCATCATCATCACCACCACCACCACTACCATCTCATCATCGTCATAATAATAATTATAATAATAAGTAGGATAATAATAAGAATAATAATATATCTAGATAACACGAATTATTTATGACTGATATGATTTTATTTTTACACTGGCGAGTCTCCTCACACTTTGAATTTCGTTCGAAGTGTCCCTTTCCCTTAAAATTCGCTGAGGAAAAGATTGGAAGCGAACTTTTTTTGGGGATGTGCAACGTTTCATTTATTTCACATTCTACATTATTCGACAATAACGTCCGTATTATTATTATTAATATTATTATTATTTTATTATTGTTATTATTATTATTATTATTATTATTATTAATATTATTATTATTTTATTATTATTATTATTATTATTATTATTATTATTATTATTATTATTATTATTATTTATAATAATGTAGATTACCGAACTTTAAAAACAAACGTTCGCGAAGTCGCCATAATCCCTTAGTACAAAATAGTTAAACATACTTTTGTTTTTTTCCGAATAAAAATTCGCATTTGTCAATGACTTTTTTAAGAACTGTCATACCGTGCTTTTTTCAATTCTCTCCTCCCTATCATTATAGTTATAATACCCTAAGATCCGAACGAATGAATGCACGTACCATTAACCTTGATAAGATTTACGATTATTAGGTTCAAACGTACGTACCTCCCTCGTAACAGGAATTACACATAAAATATTATTAAGTAAATTCATAATGACTTTATGAACCTTCTTCCAGAAGCCTTAATTATTTTTTTCTAATAACTAATGCAATTTATAGTTACACCAGCGTATTATATTTTTATTTTTATTTGTATTTTTATTTTTATTTTTATTTTTATTTTTATTATACTGACACGAATCGAAATTCGTTTGCGCGACGCGAATAAATGATCGAGAGTATCCAAACACTTCTTATTTATTATTAAATAATGATCTTATTTACAGAAAATAAAAATCAAAATTTGATAGGACGGTACGAGTAAAATCTAGATGTCTCAAGATATCAAATGTTCGTTTATATAACAAGAGGATGGAGGATGTTTTAGTAAAACAACAAATATCAACGAAAAACCAAAGATAACTGAAATTGCT